AAAGGAAAGGAAAGGAAAGGAAAGGAAAGGAAAGGAAAGGAAAGGAAAGGAAAGGAAAGGAAAGGAAAGGAAAGGAAAGGAAAAAGAAAAAGAAAAAGAAAAAGAAAAAGAAAAAGAAAAGGCCTCCTGAATCAGATGCAGCCCTTTGAGGAGTGTGCTCTTTGTTGGGTGTTGAGGCCACTTTGGAGGTTGAGTGTTCTCTAAATGTGGCTCTGATCAGAGTGGGAGCAAGAAGCTGGAGTTCCCCTAAGCTGCTCAGCCTGCAGACCCTGGGGTCCAAGGCTCATTATGTAAAACACTCATTCTCTGACAGCAAATGGAAAAATATCAAAAGACAGAAAGAAGTGGAAGACATGGATTAAAACCATGGTGTGTGCCTCTTTGGCCTTTTTCCCCCTTAACTGGCTATTTATATATTTTATTATGAAATAGTGTCTGAATATCTCTACTCATGTATTTTTAACTTAGCACGGAATCATGAAAATCTTCCGTGCATCATTAGAGTCCTCTGAAATAGATTGTGATGAAAGTGGCGATTACTGAGCATTTTCCACCCGTAGGTGCCAGGCCAGTTCAGGCCAGTTCAGGCCAGTTCTACGTTCCTTATAGCTCTAAGTTCATTGCATGTTCAAAGATTCCTATGAAGTAAGTTGCATAATTTCTGTCCCTTTACAAAAGAGGAAAAATAAGGACCAGAGAGCATCTGCTATTTGCTTTAGGTCACAGTGCTAAGGTTGCAGCTCAGGTTAATCCCACTTTACAGCCAGCTATGGCATGTTGTCTGTGCTGGATTCCTGTGACTCTGTAGCTAGCGAGGATCCTGTCTTTTTCCCATGGCTAACACCATGCCATGGTTTGTTTCTTGGGTCTGTTATTTTCAGATATAAGGATGAAGGTCCTTTCCTGCTTCCTCTTTTCTAGCCTCAAGCCTGCTTGACTCAGTTCTTTATACATGGGTCAAACAATCGTCTGTGGCTTCTGTCCCCAGCTGTGAGTCTACACTTCACCAGAACTAAAACAAATCTCAAAAGAGTCACTCTGTTTCTTTAAGTTACCCAGTGCGGGAAGGCGTTATGTAGAGATCACCAGGGTGTCATCCCCGATCTTTGCCATAAGATTAATTTCTACTTATTAGGAAGGCTGGTGTTACGGGTGCCAGGCAAGGTGTATTTGTTGTTCTAATTTCTACAAACCTGGAAGTTACAGGTAAAATAAGCTTGGAGCTTGGGCTGAGAGTTTGGGAAGAAGCAACTTTCTTCCCTGTGCTGTTCTTTCAAGGCTCCCCCAGATACTTTCGAAAGAAGCTATGCTGCTGGTTTGGGTAGACCGTGACTGAGCATTAGATGAGATTTCAGGCTGTGCTCTTCAACTCTGGGTCCTCTTAAAAGAGGCAGATTTGAGTGTGTGGGTGTCTGTTTGTCTGTGGAGGAGACAGGAGTCCTTTGAAAGACCGTACCTGCTACTCCCTGCCCCAGCAGCAGGTTTCCATGGATTCAGAGCAGAGGGGGTACACGCTATGCCTGACTCAGTTTCCTTTCTTCCCTCTGCCAGGTGAGAATAACACTGGCGTTTTCATGAGGGCTCTGTTCAGTGGGATGCTCTAGACTGGTACGGGAATGATTTGTAGTTTTCTGTTTTACCACATGAGGCTATTTTAGAAGTGAGCCTGCCACCTCCCATCACTCAAGTTCATCAAACAAAGGACAGCAGTAGCCTAGAGTGTGGCAGGAAATAATCACTTGGCAGCCTCGAGGTGATATAATGAAAGGTGGGGGGAGAGAAGCACAGATAAACAGCAGAGTGGCCCAACCTCAGAGCCCACCAGCATACAAATAACATCTTGGAGGTCTCATCATCCCTGGTTTATGCTGGCCTTCTAGAACCCTTCCCACCTCCCCCCGACCAATGCTTCTGTGGAAAGGCTATTACTACCATGAGCCCTGATCCAGACTGTTCTACCATGTTTAGAGAGCCCTAGGACTCAGACCCTCTCTCTCTTCATTCATTGTATGGGAGCAGGGGATTGACTATGAACAAAGACAGTGCTTGAATAATCCCAATACAATCTGTTCTATCCCTGATACACATATGCTACTACAGGATCCAGGCGCACCCCTGCATTTCACTGCCACGGATGTAGCACTGAGCTAGCACCCCACCCCTGTCACAGGTGTGTATATACATATATACACACCAGAATTTTTTTTTTTGGTTGACCAACAGTGGGGAGTGCTCTCTGCAGGTGCTGCTCTTACCCAGTGGGTAGGCTTGACCTCTAACCCCCAGTGGATCCCATACCTTTCCATCAAATCAAATGAAAATGTTCTCAGCATCGCTTTCTTCAAGAGATCCTGATACCTTCAAAGGGGTGGGCTTGGGGATGCATGACACTGTTTATATGTGGGATTTGTGTCTCTGGGCAACATTGGGTCAAGTTGAGATGAGATGTTATTGCCAGATGTCTACAAAGATGGCCTCTGTACGAATGGGGTAATCATGGCAGGGAAGGCTGAGGAGAAACTGCTAGATCGCTCTCTCTTCCTCCTTCCTCTGTCTTGTGGCCCATCTTCCCAATGCATAGGCCTCAAGCTCCCTCATGCCATCTAGACGAGAAGAGGCCATCCTTGGAGTCAGATTCACTTGACCTTAAGTAGCTGTCTAATCCCAGGATAGTAAATGACCCTTTGAGCCTCGGCTTTCACACTTGAAATGAGGTTCATGATATAGAGCATGCAGAGAGAACTGGATGTGTATACTGCTGCCAGGCCTCTCCCTGGTGTAATACTCCCAGTCCAAAGACCACTCCAGGTCTATTCTCTGAGGGACAAAAGACAAGATGTGACATCTCTATGGCCTTGACAGACTTCATTCTCACCCTTAGAGTTCTCTTACATCGCCCCTCCTTCTTTTACTTGCTTTTGTTCATGTTGTTACAGACACAAAAGTTCCAGTCTACTTTATAGTCGGTTTCAGTGTTTTGGGGCTACACTCTCTCCCTTTGAAAGACCTTGCTTTAATTATTAGGCATCCAACACATGGAATTTACAGTATAAGCACACTGGAGACATTTGATCTCAGTGACTTTTGACTAGGTGTTTTATTCAGGGACCATTAGAAGGAGGCAGAGTCAGAAGGCACATGGTGTAGGTCTGTAGGCATCTGCTGGTAATACCTATTTGATTATTCATTCACAGTCAACAGTTAGCTTAGGTTATTTGTGTGCTTTCTTACTCCCTTCTATTTATTTTCAATAACCATTTATTGAGATCCTTCTATGAATCAGGCTTTTCTAGATGCTGAGGACAAAGACACAGACCAGGGTCCTAGGGAGTTATTCATTCAGTCCACAAACATTTTTGTAATAGCCTCGCACTGTACTAGACCTTGGAGCTCACAGCTAGTGCCAGGGGGAGAATATTATTCAATGGTTTACAATATCATGTGTTAGGTATTTTTCTAAGAGATATAAAGGAGGTTCTCCCAGGGCCTGAAAAGAGAAATGCAAGGGCCAGGACTCGTTCCCTTCAAGAATTGAAACCCCATTTCCAACTGATTTAAGCTACAAAGGAAATGTGTTGGCTTCTGTCACTGAATAAAAACATCCAGGAGTTGGTTTCAAGTACTGCTGGCTCAAGGTGAACAAATAATGCCATCTCTCTTCCCCAGGGTTCGCTCTCCTATGGATTAGTATCTATTTTTAGGCAAGCTTTCTCCATGAGTAGGCAAAAAAGATTCCCACCAGGTCCCAGGCACC